CCCTTTCTTCTTTATGTTCGTGGGTGTTCTTTGGATGTTCGTAGGTGTTCGTGGGTGTTCATTCAAAATGTATACTGAAAAAGCGAAACTATAAAAACTTTCTTACGAATCTTACGAATTACAGATATCTTAAATTTCATTAAGATCCTATAGGATTTTTGTTTCGATCCTACCTTCAAGTAAACTAAATCCTGAAAAGATTCTGAAAAGTTATCAAAACTCTCTCAATTAGAGAGCGAAAATTTAGTGCAGTAGTCAAAGAGATTTTAACATCTCAGTGACTGATACTACTGCTGATGAAGTCAGCACGTTTTAGTAGCTCATGGAAAAAGAAGTTTGCTAAGGTTTTCCCGAGCAGTCCATCAAACTACTCACTCTAAATTGATAGTGACTAGTGTTAAGCGATTGCGCAAGTTTCAGCGTGTTTAATTTTTACAGATTACAGCATCATAGTATCCAAATTCTCTTAAGTTTACAAAACAGTGTAGTAATCTAGGATTTTCTCGAGTATGCGCCTTTTCTCGGCTTTAAATCAATAATATCTTAAAACAAAGATCGCATTCTGACTGAACCTGACAAACTGGACTGAACTATTACCAAAACTATTCAACATTCTTTGTGATGTTCTAGAAGCAGCAACTTATCATAAATATAAACTTTAGTATATCTAATACATATATGATAATGGTCTAACAGTAGATCAAAAATCTCGGTATAAGAATTAGTTCTTTTGGTGTTTTATGAATAAAATATGTCGAAAGTAATGCTTTTTACTCGCGACTTTTTTGGGGGATTTGGGGTTCGGGAAAAAATCCTTTGAGTTATTCCATACTTCGTTCGTTTGAGTGAAACGAAAGTTGCATTTATAAAATCACCGTTGATATGACAAATTACCTGTCTAACCAACATAATTGCTACCGTTTTCAATATACAACTGGCATAGCTATTATTTGAATACTGTTTGATAGAAAGTAGATGCCAATCTCCAATTTTCACTGTCTTATAGCCAATACGTAATCGGATGAGACTGTAAACAGTTCATATCGTGGCACCACCTGCAGGTGATGTTCCTCATCAATCATCAAAAGTCTGCCTTAAAACAAGTCTTGGAGAGGTCTCAAGAAAAAATCGTCTACCGTAGTCTCCTGATAGAGGATAGTCTTCTATTATGGGGAAGTTCAGGGAGCTTTCTAAATACGCGGAAACATATATTATCAACCTTTAGGAATCTCGTGGCAACGCTCATTTTTGAAATAAAACCAGAAACCTGATGAAAACAGGGTTCTATGACAATAGTGGTTTCAAGGCTGTTTTCATCCAATATTAAAAATTCACAATTTCCTCGACAAGCATCAGAACGAGTTGGAAACTTCAGAATCTATAGTGTTTAGGCTATCTGTACACTGTTTGTAAGAAATCTGCAAGAAAAATTACCCAATGATTTTTTTATGCAACAAATTTCCTTTGAATACACTAAAATCGACATTCTGTGCGGTCGATACGTTTAAACTCAGTAAATACATAAAAAAATTCTTGATGCCATCGCATATCTTAAAAGGTAGTGCATATGGAAGTATAAAATCTTTTAGCTTTCCCAATACAAAGTGAACACCTTGAAACGTCTTATTAACTAACCCTTACTTCTTAATTTTTTTACTCGTTCGAATGCATAAAAATAATTTTTACCTATTTAGTGAATTCACATGAATTCAGACTAATTTGATGCGTTCATATGCCTTAAGAGGCTTCACTGGTCAGTCGAGCATTGCTTCCGAAGCCAGTGGAATGGTCGAAATTAATATATATATTTTTTAACGTTTTTGGGTTCTACGATCAAAAGTGGAGCTATGAAAAAATTTTTGGTCTCTTTGGACTTAATTTGACCAAGTTGTAGCATTTACAAAATGGTCGGTGTCTGAGAGTCTTGAAAAAGCATCCTCTTGACAATTTTCGCTAAAACTTCATCATTTTTCATCCATTCTGTTTGAGCAGCATCACATTTAAAAACTGATAAAAACTAAAGAAAACTTAAGAAAACGAAAGAGCTTTAATTTTGTTCTGATGTTGAGCTTTCCTAGAAAAAAATTGGGCTTTCTGAAATTTTCCAGTTTTCAAGACATGAATGTTTTTGATCAAAAGTCAATTTTGAATCATAAAAAGGCCATTTTGTAAATGCTATAACTCGGTCAAATTAAGTCCAAAGAGACTAAAAACTTTTTCATAACTCCACTTTTGATGGTAGAATCCAAAAACATTAAAAAATATATATGTTAATTTCGACCATTCCACTAGAATTCTCGATAAAGCCTCTCTTAAGAGTCACTATATTCAAACGAGTGAAATCATTTAACGCATTAAAAATGCTCTCTTCGGTTAAATATATTTACAGATTTTAAGAGTAGTCTAATTAGTTCACTAGAGTTAAAACCTTATGTATCTGAATGCATTAATTTGTTTTTGTTTATAAAAGCAAAAACGATGCTAGAATTGATCCTACATTTTTTTCTAGCAATGCCATCGGATTCTTCTCAAAAGGCTTGGTCTAGGATAATTGCTTTTGTTCAATCAGACACAGCAGTGTAGAGGGCCTAGAAACTCCTCCAAATGACTGATGCCTTCTCTTGATATGGTCATCTATAAATGCAGTCAAATGTATTAGAATTTCATGTGATTTCATGAATAAAATAATTTTAATGCACTTGACCATATTACAACTCTTACCGCGTCGAATAACTTTGAGTTTATTATAGGACTCTAAGCGGGAAAAATCACTAAAATGCGTGAAAAACGGTTTTCGTGAACTTCATTTTAACGCACTTTATGCGTTAAAGTAATTTAATACGAGATTAAAACGAATTTTATTGTTAGGAAGCCCATTTTAATTCGTTTTAACTCATTAATAACTCGATTAGAACTTTGTTGTTTACTTTTGGTATGCTAAATTTAACGCATGTAAACGCATTAGAAGCTTTTTTACGTCAGTCAAAGCATGTCAGTTTATCAATATTTAAGTGCTGTTAAATGCGTTGAAACATAGTTGATAAACAAAAAAGAAATTTTTAGTATCAAAAAAATTCATTGGCTACAAAACTGTATGGTTTCTAGAGGGACTTTAGCAGAAACTATTGAATAAAAACATGATTTTTCACCTTCTTCAATTTGTGATTTAAGATGATAAGTCAAGTTCATGGTCGATTAAGTTAGCGCGAGTGAAATTCTGGTATTTCAATAAAATGTTGGAATCAAAAAGGGATCTAGTGGCTGCAGTTCGTAGAGTAAACATTTGTGGTTAAAATAAGACGCTCCCCAGAGCCGAACGATACTCGTATCGGGAGCTATGACAGTTTTATTAAGAGCCCTAAAACATGTACCACACACTAGCGCCACTGTATCTCAAAAGCAACTCTTCCCACTACGTGATAAACATAGGGGTGACACTTTCTCTTTCCTACCTCCTTCTTTTATTAACAAAAGAAAACTTTTTCTTTTTTTTACAATAAAAAAGAGTAAAGAAATAATGCATATCTTTTCTTTCCTAAGAGAAAGGAAAGTAGCAACTTTTCTTTTCCAAAAGAAAGAAAAGCGACATCGTCTCTTTTTGCAAGAAAAAGACTTTCTTTTGTATCTTTTAAGAAGTCTTTTTTTGCAAAAAGAAAAGATATGGCTTTTCTTTCTTTTGGAAAAGAGAAGGTGCCATTTTCCGTTTTCTTAGGAAAGAAAACAAATGCATTATATCTTTACTCTTTACTTTTGAAATGAAAGATACCACTTTATCGTTACTCAGGAAAGGAACAGGAAAGTCTCAGCCCTAGATAACCACTGTCGGACAGATTTCTCCTTCAAACTAAGAGCTAGAGAGCTCTGATCGATCTTAAATTGAAGCTAAGACATATTGAAACAACCTAAACGAGCCCGAATTTTGATTTAGGCTATCATTCTTTTTCATTGTGGAAAGTTAAACACCAGCTTTGCGCTGTTTTTGGAACTTTTGAGGTGAAATCCTTCGGGAAATAAAACAAAGAAAAAATTAATTCAACTTTATTACGTCATTACTCTGGCTTCATTTTATATTTTAAAACCAGCCTCAGCTCTCCAGCTGTTTTTTAAGAACTTTGCAGGCCGGTAGATGGCCCATTTTGACCCATGTTCGAGCGACATTTCTTAGGGTGATAGATGGTGCCATCACACTTATGCAGTAACCTCCATCAAAATTTCCGCTAAGTTTACACTTGTGGTGACCGAGATAGATTTCTAACCAGGGAGCCTTAATTGCATTTCGTTTGAATTTTAAGAAAAATTTCAAGCTGAGATTTAATTTTCTTCCTCTCTAATATTTTTACATAATATGTCATAAAAACAAATTCATCTACTAAGGTAGAGGTGGGCAAGTCCAAATCCAGACTTGAAGGTTTTTTTGACGGACTGAACTTAGGGAGTTATTATCAAGTCCGTTAGACGTCCAAATGAACAGATAATATCTTTTATATTCAACAACGGAACGAGTATAAGCTGATACCTAATTTATTAATCTGTTTATGTCAAACATGAATAAACTCTCCACTGAATTGCTTTCTCAGTACATTGCTGGATTTCTATGGCTTAAATAAACTTAAACCAAATGCATTTTCCACAGATCAGGGAATATCAATACCAACTGGTTCTACTCTTATACATTCAAATGTGGAATCAACACCACATATTACATCATTCACAATGTCGATACCAGCTCACGTTCCCTCTATATATAAAAAAATCCGGCAAATGTTTGGCTGAGTTATTTCACTTTGACCTGCCCCATAGAATTTTGGAGCAGAAAAAAGTACTTATAAAATGCCTTGAACCAAAATTTCATTTGAAGGAAGCATTTTCAAACAAAAGTTGTTCAGAATCAGATTCCCGGGAATATGAACGAAGGATTATGTACATAAAACCAAATTTTTATTTAGCCGTACGCCTGACTAACTAACATGCAAAAACTGGATGAAGAATAAAAGGTAGTTATGACGATGCATCGGCGACGTAAAACTGAAAGAGATTTATCACTCAATGGCATGTCAAACAAGGCTTACTCTAGTGCAAGTAATGATGAAAGTGTTGAAGAAGATATCGATGAAAAAGTACTTGAAGACTTGAAAAGGAAAGAGCCAGATATCAAATTGAGTGAAAGTAGTGATACTTCTTCTCATCCTAAGAGTAATAATGTTGTTACTGTTATTGAAAATAAAGGTGGTTTATGGACAAGAATTCAAAATTTCTTTAAAAATTATCGATGGCGTATGAGACACTATTTTTATATTCATGTGTTCATCTTTATTTTATGGGGACTACTAGGTGGAGTAATTATTTATTTAATTGAATTAAAAAATAAACTAATCACTGTACATTATGTTGACGCTTGGTTTTTTTGTAGTACATGTGTATATAATTGTGGTCTAATAACGTTAGATTTTGCCAAGTTATCACGTGCATCACAAATATTTTTAATGTTTGTCACATTTTTTAGTGGTATTACAATTAGTACATTGCCTGCTTTGGTTATAAAAGCTCGAACTCATAAGAAAGTAGAAGGTATCACTGTTGATGATGATCACGGAGATGAGGAAGATAGCTCATTGCCCGTAACAAATTTAAACAGTAAGAATCTATCTCCAAATGTTATTAAAAAATTAAAAATGTTACCTACAGCAGAACAGTTACGTTATCGAGCCTATATGTTAACGATATTTCTTGTATTAACTACATGTTTTATAATTTATGGAATAGCGTTTGTTGTTATCGGTGCATGGATAACTAATAAATATGAACCTCAATATCTATTACAAGATGGAAGTTCGATTAATGGTTATTATGCTTCATTTATAATTATCATTACCGGTTTCAATCAAAACGGTTTATCACCATGGTCGGACAGTTTAGCACGTTTTGTTAAAGATATTTATATGAATTTATTCGTCATACTTGTAAGTATTTTCAGATGTTGTTTTTTCTTGATAATTGACAAAGACTAATGTTTTCTAGGTTGTGATGTTTGGTACATCATTGTTTCCATTTTTACTTCGAAATGTTGTTTTATTTTCAAAATTTATTGTTCCATGGCGTCATAAAGTTATTTTTGATTATATTTTATTAAATAATCATCGACTCTCAACATTATTATTCCCCTCTGTACAAACACGTATTTATCTATCGATTACAATTCTTTTGTATATAGCTGGCGTTAGTATATCACTTATCTTAGATTTACATAGCGAAAATTTTGCTCAATATGCATCGGGTACACGATTTATTATTTTCTTGTTTCAAACAATTATGACAAGATTTGCTGGTTTTACAACAATTGATATTAGTCAATTGGCTTCAGCAACGTTAATTGTCTATTTACTACTAATGGCTATTAAACCTCAAATGTTATGCGCAATAGATGAAACACCATTTGAACTAGAATGGATAGCATTAACAACACAAGATGAAGTTGACGAAGTGCTTCAACCATTAGTAACAGATGAATTGAGTAATAAACGACGTTCATCAGCAAGTATTATGTTTCCCGTACGTCAAATGAACAGATTTTTAAGAAAAAAAAGTGTTCAAACAAGAGCAATGGCTAAAAGTCATTTTGCTCAACTGAAACGTCAGAAACGAAAAATTAATAGTCGAACATTGAGTCGAATTAGTTTCTACTCTGATCTGGTTAATGATAGTCAACCATCACCAGTTCGTCTTTCATGGATTCGAACAAGACTATTTTTAATATTTTTTACACGTAAAATAGTTACATATGGATTTAATTTTTTCATCGTGACAAGAACTTGGTTATTTGTCTTTATATTTCTAATTTGTTGTTTCGAATCACATCATATGAGTCCAATTGACGTTAACATTACTGTTTTCAAAGTTATTTTTGAGGTGATAAGTGCATTTGGTGCATGTGGATTAACTCTCGGTTATCCGAATATCAGCTCAAGTTTCTGTACAGTGCTAACTGTGCCCAGTAAAATAATCTTAATAACTACCATGTTGATGGGTCGACATCGTGGACTTTTAGATTCAATGAAAGATCAAGAAAAAATTGAATATAATGCGTCTACATTACTTGACCAATGGAGGAAAAAAGCAATGGAAGAACAAGAGAAAAGTAATGATAATACGAATGATTTAGACGATGTTGTGATACATCCCGCAACTCAAATGATTATCACGCGATTTTGATAGATTATATCTACTTTCATACCAACACATTGGTTAAATCGAATACAAAAATATTTCCTGTTTCTTCCTATGACCATGGTGCTGTACATAGGCAATTATCTGAAAAATTTTCTCATTTACCCATATGTCGTCACACAAACCTTTTGAAGAATTTAGAATCCTTCTGTGTTTAATCCATACGAAACTGACAAGATCTGTAATTAATAAATCGAAGAATCTCAAAATGCACATTATATACAAAAGTAAATTGTTGTATGTTTGTGTAGTTTGTTTTGTGAGTGATTAATTATAGTTGTATAATTTTCTATAACAGGATTCTAGAGACAAAGATAGAAGATGTGCATAAGTACTGCATGAATTCCTGTTCTGACCGCTAACAGTACAGACGCTTTCAAGGGCTATCCAATGTTATGTTTTTGAAAAATATATAATCTTTTATTCTGGCAGAAAAATGGCTAAAGGTGTGTTTAAAGCATTAAGATAGGTGCAAATTATAACAAAAAATTCCATCTTTCTATATGCAAAACATTCCGGTTTGGAGCAGATGTATTCCTTATTTAATATTGCTTTAAAGTGTTAAGATAGATGAAAATGATGATATCTGCCTAGTATTTCGACTATTGACCCATGTGGGCATATTTTCGAACGACTTATTTATAGTTTACTTTGAAGCCTAGGAAATTCTCTATCTTTCTATATATAAAACGTCCCGGTCTGAGGAGATGAGTTCAAGAAATATTCCTTAGAATGTTAACATAGGTGAAATGGTGATATCTACCTAGGATGAGCATATTTTTGAAAACCTCGTTATAGCTTATTTTCGAGCCCAGGAAATTCTCTATGTTACTCTCAATGTTTTTCTACCTGACTCTGCTGGTACTTGCTCTCTCGAAAGTGTTCAACAACTTTTTAGAGAGTGCACATGGAGGTCAGGGTCCACAGTTGGACACCTGAAAGTATGAAATTTCTCTTCATTCTTCAACTTGCATAATGCAGATTAAAACTTGAAAAATTTTCAGTGAATCTCCGATGAACATTATTTACAAAACGTTATTGTTCTTGCTATTAACATCCTAATACATTATTATCCAATCTTAAAAAACTCTTGGACAGTACAATCTTAGTAAGATTTCGCTTACATTTGTCTACGATCTTAGAAAAATCTTATCAAATCTTAGAATTTGAGGGTCTCACGATCTTACTAAAATTTGAGTAAGCTTTTCACTAGGGAAGACACCAAAAGGATTTTTTGAAAATGGGAAGTGAAAAGTGAATATTGACTTGTTTGTTAACATTGACTACTTTTAGTTTATATTTTTTAGTGTTACGTCTATTTTTGCTTATTAACTTCGAGTGACATGAGAAATTAAAATCACTTATCATGCATGATAAGACTAAAAAATCCTTATGAACTGAATTGTGTTTCGATTTGCTAGTGGAACCCATCCAGTTTCACCCGAAGTATGCGTTTACATAGTTACTGTTATTCTCATGTTCGTTGCCACTTCGTTTAGACTTGAGACAATGAAAAACATAATGGTTGATGCAGGTTTTCATGCTCTAACTGAATATGAGATCAAAAATGGAAACAAAATGTGTAATAGAGAGAAAATTGAAAAATACGAGATAAATACGTCGTTTGATTCGACCCATTTGTTCGTTTCAACTCGTCGTATGCTTACGCAGGTAAAACTAATCAAGACATATGACATGTTCATCGGATCAGTGTTCTGTTTTAAATTACCGAACAGTTACCTATTACAGCCTTGTTTTGCTCATTATACATATTAGAATTCACTTTTTTAAATTACAATTTACATTTGACATTTTTGTATCTGCCGTCTTCCCTAGGTAAAAGTGTTAGGTTTTTGAATATGCACGATTCCTCTTGACTCATACTCAGACAAC